ATATATATACATTAAACTCTTTTTTTTTAGTTTAAGGTGTTAACTTACCACATTGCTCGATTGCACAATCTTTCACTTCGTAGAATTCTTTTGAATAGCACCACGCACGACACCGTTCGTTTGGGTTGCGACAATAGTTATGATTTCCAATTCCTTTGCCGAAAACTTTAGCCGGCGTTACAGCATCTACGGGATTATTTGCATCTGTCCATAAAACACACTTTGTTCCATCTTTGGTTGTATCGAGAATTCCGCGGTAATCTGAAGCATCGAGCCTTTGAAAACATTCTAAATAAATATGTAATAATAATAATTCGTAAGGCAATTGAGGTATGTCGTCATCATCATTGTCGTCGTCGTAATGGACTTCGTCATCAATCATCAATGCCATCATATTTTATCATGATCTTTATCATTACTATTATTAGTTATTAAAGCGTTATAATTTTTTATACCCTCTAGTGTGTGTACGTCAAGAATAGTTTCGATTAAAAAAGACGATATACCACTAAAAGAAGATAGGTTGCATGGTTTTGAAAGCAGTTTCATATCATTTTGCATAACATAAGAATATTTTAAAAACACTAAAATGAGATGAAACAGCAATTAGTGGTAATTGGTATTAGTAAATATTTTGTATTCTCTCCATAATGTTTTTGTTCGCACTAAATTAAAATTAGCATGATTTGCAATATAAGTAGGTCCATACCATACCATAACGTATTTTGGTCAGTGGCAGCGAAAGCAAAGTTTTACTGTAACTTATTGAGAACCCGAAAACCGACTGTGCTTGACGAAGATATATTGTGTTTGTTAACCGACTGTGCCTGAAACCGGAGTGTGCTTTAAAATCGACTGTGTTTGAAATTTGCCTTTTTGGCGTTCCATATAATACGGCAGAAATTGATGTTGAATGTTGTTCTTTTGGTATTCCATATAAAACCGCAAACGGAATGCGGAAATACAACAATTTGCTCCAGAAAACAGCACGTGACAATGAAAACGTCTGTAAAATTAATTATTTTCCCTCAATTAAGCTGAAATATGGAATTACATTCATTTCGTTAGATGGAGACTCTGATGATCTACAGTATGTTGTTACGGTTTTTTAACCCGGTAGGTTTCGAATCCAATTGACGTTATCTGACGAATTACTGTGATTGTAGGCTTTGAAATAAGCATAATTATAAATAGATGATCGTTCTTAATCTGAATTATGTTACACGTACCGACCTGTAATACATTGCTCATTCTCGTCGCTGTGATCCCGACAGTCAAAATTTCCATCGCAGACAAATGACTTCAATATACACTCTCCGGATAAGCACTTAAACAATTTGCTGGAACACATGCGTGACTGATCTTAATATAGAAAGGAACATTCAATTGATCAAATGGCTAAACTAGTTATTTCAAAAAACTTTCTCTTTACACTTAGACGCTAAGTTCATATGATTTTTAAATCAATTACATATCGTTAATACTTTGCTTATTTTTTCCTCAGCCAAGAGGTTATGTATTCACTGCTGTCTGTTAGCCAGATTACGCAAAAACAAATAAATAGATCATCATAAAAGTCAAAGGTCAAGGTCAATGAAATGCTATGTTTTACCCTCGAGCATAAAATAAGATAATGGAATCGACCTCGAATTCAGGCAGTACTCAAGAAAACCATATATCGGTACCACAATATGACAGGTTCTATTATTGTATTGAGGACAGGCTGCAGAACTCAAGAACTATTGTGCCTGAATACAGCGGGCGAATTCATTATTACATTGAGGGTATGCTGTAGTTTTGCCCATCATACACGGCCTGTGTATTGCAATAGTGCGCGTCTGTCAAGCTGTCTGTCTGTGCGTGGTGCTTGTGTCCTTCAGGGCATATAACTAAAAAACTACTCGACCCGGATCGTTCGACCGAGTTGTGGTACGTTTGGCTAGGCACAGCGCATACCATCTACTATGCGCTATATACGGTAAGTCTCCAACCATAAGCATTCCCACCGGCAGACTGGAAGTGGTCGGACGGAGTGTGCAAACTCGCCTGATTGATGGGCTTGCTACTTGAAACCTAGGCCTCGTTTAGTTGATCGGGTGGATGGACCGCGTGCCATTATTTTTGTTCAGTACATAAATACAGGGCGAGGGTTTTTAATCTCAGATTTCTTTACGAAATGTTTTATTTTATTTTATTTTTTTCGCAAGTGTTTGGGAATGTACTGAGCATTCAGTACTTACATCACACGTCAGGTAGGTGGGAAAACATTCCTTTCGTATCCTGATGAAAAAACAAACTCAGATTACCTTTTGGTACTGTATTCATGCACCAGCACAGGGCGGAGGTACGCACTCTATGGAGTGACTGCTAAGTTTAAAATAATTTGACTTGTAAGAAGACTGTAGTTGCGTGTAGAATGCTTGAATGCAATATATTTGCAGTATCAATTACTTTTATAGAAATTGTTACGGAGCTTAACAAAACATCGATGCCTCTACAATACTATAACTAGGCCTACATGTAAAATAAGAGTGGTCGCTTAAGAGATAATGTAGTAGAATCCTTATCCAGAGTACTTCTTTGTAATTTAAATGTGTGTCCATCAGCAGTACCTCTATTTTCAGGAAATTAACAAAAATGTGAAATTTTACTCTTAGGGTTTTTTTTATTGTTTTGTTTTGTTTTGTTTTTGTTTTTGTTTTTGGCACGCAGTCATACAGTGATGTAATTGACCTAAGAACGAATTACAATAAAACCAGAACATGTGTCAAATTTGCAATTTTATATGCTCAAAATTTATCCCTGTCCCATTAATAAGGGTTGACCGTGGTGTAAAAATGTGTATTTCCTCTCATTTCGTGGAATAGTGTCCCCTTACTAGGTAAGTAAGGTGAAAAATTCTCACCAAAAAGTTCACTACCAAAACTCGCAAACAAATTTTCCGATTAGCATTACTAATCACATCATCAGACGAAGAGACCTACCTTCAATATTCATTTGGCAAACGAATGCTCTCGCATGCATACCTTTGCATAACACCTCAAGTTCCTTCCATGTACTTCCCCGTTTGGCTGGTATTTCTCGGTTCAGAGTTTTACAAATGTCACTATTTCGCTTTCTCCAAAGAAATATAACTGTAGCATTTGAATCGTAATAATATAATGCGTAAACGTATTGTGTGAGTGTTAGCAAAGAGGTGTCGCTTCTGAGAAGTACCGAGTTGCGAGGGCACGTGATATTATTGTACGAATGATCATGTTCAAATTGTACGACGGATAAGCACCGATCGCTGTCTCGAAACCAATTTGCATGGCAACCTGAACGAAATAACCCAACATCAAATAAACACAATTACATAGACATAGTGACCGTATAAGTGTTGTTTTTCAAATAAAAATTAGTAATCCTACACCTATAATATGATTTTTTTTATCTAAAACTAATATGGTTTTCTGATTCAGAAATTATGATTATGGATTTAATATATAGAATGACTTTTTATCATCATTCTCTATCGTCATCATTATCATCGTCTTTATCATTTATATCTCAATCGATATCATCACCGCCACAATAATCACGTAACAATCTCATCACAAACAATATTACCATCATTTGTTTAATTTATAAAATTATTATTAGCTGTTTCATAACTTCCCCTCCAACCTTCCCCCAATGGCTTTGGTTTCCTCCTACGTGTGCTATGGGTTAAAATCTCTGGAAAATTAAACTACAATGTGTTATGTTGATAAACCTTTACTTATTATTGTATTAATTGTAAATAATTATTTTCGTCTACATACCTTCTATTTTCACATCATTAAATGTTCTGAGCCACCCAGGTCTTCTTGATTCACCTATTAAAACAGATTAAAGCCCTTGATTAAAATATAGTTAGGTTTTCATAGCCAATGAGGGTTAGCTAACGTGATAAGTTTATGAGAGCACGCTTTCGCACCACAATAGCGTGTGCGATGTCGTCCACACGTAGAGACGTTTTCGATGTACGTGTGTGCCCGGTTTAAGATTACGTTCTGTATTACTGTACAGCCTTTTGTAGGAAGGCCAGTTTGTTTAAACCAGTGGTGGTGCTCAATAAGGGAACAGGTGGACTGTCGCACTTTGTAATAATCGTCGCACTTTGTAACACCAGTCGCACTTTGTAACAAAGTTGTCACACTTTGTAATAACCTGTCGCATGTTGTAATAACTGTTGTCGCACTTTGTAACATCAAGTTGTCGCACTTTTTAATAACTGCCTGTCACACTTTGTAATAAATCAGCTGTCGCACTTTGTAATAAAGTCTGTCGCACTTTGTAATAACTTGTTTAATTTAATTATGTTATAAGCGTATAAGCTTGAACAAAAGCTAAAATCCAAGATTTCGTCATGTGCTTTTAGACTACAATATTAGAGATTGGAAATTCAAGGCCTCGCCATCCCCCACTGGCGCCACTACTGGCTTAGGCCTTGTATTTTTTAACAAGCCAGGTCATCTGCTTTAGACTACAGTGTTGGTGCTCAATAAAGGGACGGGTGTACTTTCGCACTTAGTAATAATCTTCGCATTATGTACCGTAACACCTGTCGCACTTTGTAACAAATTTGTCACACTTTGTAATAACCTGTCGCACTTTGTAACAATCAAACAATCAAGCTGTCGCACTTTCTAATAAATGCCTCGCCTGTCACATTTTGTAATAACTCAGCTGTCGCACTTTTTAATAAAGTTTGTCGCAGTTTGTAATAACTTGTTTCATTTAATTATGTTATAACTTTTAATTTAATAAAATAATTAATTTTAGAATGTTGCATATTATGGATGGCTAATATTAAAAGGTCAAGGTATATACAAGTTTTACTAATAATTTGGAAATCAATGGCTTACTGTGTTGTATGTAATCCCAAATAAACAAATGTCAGATTTTCCTTTCTTGCGCGCGTGCATGATACTACAAGGTCAAGGTCATATACAAGTTTTACTTATAATAAGAATAAGAATTTTAAAACTCGTTGGCTTACGGCGTTGTATACGTTGTCCCAAACCAACGTATCTTTTGAGATTTCCTTTTGTTGCGCGTGTGCATAATACTGGTCAAGGTCACATACAAATTTTGCTATTAATTATAGAATTATAATTTTTAAACTCTACGTCGTATGTAGTCCCAAATGAACGTGTATTGTGAGTTTTTCTTTTGTTGTGCACGTGTATGATACTAAAGTTCAAGGTCATATACAAGTTTTTTAGGAATAAAATTTTAAAACTTGGTGGCTTATTGCGTTGTATGTAGTCTGAATCAGCGTATGTTGTGATATTTCCTTGTTGCGCACGTGCATGATACTACAAGGTAAAGGTCACATGCAAGTTTTACAAATATTTATAAGATTATAATTTCTAACTTGCTATTGTTTGTACTCCCAAATAATCGTATGTTGTGAGATTTCTTAGTTGCGCATGTGCATGATACTACAATATCATGGTCATATACAACCGCTACTAGTATGGTGATTATAAGTTAAAAACTCGCCGAAGCTTACGGCGTTGTATGTAGTCAGAAATCAGGCTGTGAGACTGATTGCGCGCGTGCATGATACTATAAGCTCAAGGTCACGTATACGTTTTACTAATAATTAGGATTATAATTTTAAAAACTCGGTTCGTTGTATATAGTCTGAAATCAGCGTATGTTGTGAGATTTTCTTTTTTTCATGTTATAACACAAAGTCAACGTCACGTACAATTTTGAGACTACATACAATGCTGTAAGCTATTGAATTTTAATATTATACACACCATAATTGTAGCACTTGTATCTAACTTTGACCTTATAGTATCATGCACGCGCGCAACAGGAGACAGTCGCAGAACATCCGTTGATTTAAGATTATCTACAACGCAGTACGGTAAGTTATTGAGAAATACCCCAATTATTGGTAATAAACTATGACCATGAGCTTGTAGTATAATGCACGCGCGCAACAAAAGAAAATCTCACAACATATATTATGTCGATTTAGGACTATGAAGCAGCGCAGTAAGTCACTGAGTTTCAAAATTCTAATTGTAAAACACGCGCGCAACAAGAGACAATCTTACAACATACGGTGATTTCGACTACATACAACGCAGCAAGTTACCGAGTTTGAAAATTATAATTTCATAACTATTTATAAAACTTCGATATGGCATTGACTTTGCAGTATCATGCACGTGCGCAACAAGAGACAATCTTCCAACATACGCTGATTTCGAAGATGCAGTACAGTATGTCACCGAGTTAAATTATATTCCCAATTATTAGTAAAACTTGTATGATCTTGACCTTGTAGTAACATGCACGCGCGCAATAAAAGAAAATCTCACAACATACGTCGATTTGGGACAATAAATACAACGCAGTAAGGCACCTAATTTTAATATTATAGTCCTAATTATGAGTAAAAGTTGTATATGGCCTTGACATTGTACCACGCACGCGCGCAACGGGAGACAAATCTCACAACACACGTAGATTTTGGATTAACGTACAGCCGCCGTAAGCAACCGCGTTTTAAAATTATAAACACCGGTAGTAATTGTATTTAAACTTGACCTGCATGTGCGTAACAAAAACGCAACATTTTTGATTTGGGACTACGTATAATGCAGTAAGCCACCTCGTTTTAAAATTATAACCAATGTAATTACAATCCCAATTATTAGTAAAACCAGTATATGAACTTGACCTTGTAGTATCACTCACGCTCGCAAGAAAAACATCTAATATTTGTTAATATGTGATTACATACAACGCAGTAAGGCACCGAGTTTGGAAATTATAATCTAAAATTATTAATAAAACTTGTATATGACCTTGACCTTGTAGTATTAGTCATCCATAATATGCAATATTCTACAATATTTTTTTTACAAAATTAAAAGTTATAACATAATTAAATTTAAAGTTCTGATCAAAATCTACACTAACTTACTTTGCACGCAAGATACTCCTGCATCTTCCGAATGTAGACAGTTGTGTTGATCGAGATGTTCACATTGTTGGAGCTCAATTTCCGTACCCGTGCATTCTACGTTGTCGAGGTGTATCACACCAGTTCCCTCGCCGTATCTACCCTTGATGTGAACAATACTCGCGTTACTGAAGCCAAGCTGGCGACATGCCACAAAGGCGTCGTTAAAATCCCATTGGTCATCGCAAACTGTTCCCCATATACCGTCAATGAACAACTCAACGCGACCCGTAGAACTACTACCACCCTGAAGTCTAATTGTACCTGTTGATGAAAACTTCTAAACTTTTATATATTTGTGAAATACCTGTTGAGGTGACGCAGTAATGACACCTAAATTGAGGATTCGAGGTTTTATAAGCTGAAGATAATAAAATCACTTTTAGATTTTTCTTTTAATAAGGATCGCTATAAGCACACAACATTTGTTTACAGGAAATCATAAAAGTGCGTAATTACATTTACGTTTTCAACAATAATAATCATGAACTTACTCTGAGAGCAAATCAGACCAGCACCTGCATAATGGTCACAGTAGCCGGAATTGGCGGTAGAGTGTACACAAGAATATAAACTGGTCTCATCTCCTGAACAGTCAAAACGATAAAATGTATCTTCTAAAACTGCACCAAATTCTGCGGAGTGATAAGCTTCAACAGCACTCGGAAAACCTTTCATGGTACACGCAACGTTGGCATCCTGCAAATCCCAATCATATCCGCAAACAGGTCCCCATTTTTCACCAGAGTAAACCTCTACTCGACCGGCATAGCCAACAACAGAGCCTTGAAATCGTATTCCCTCTGAAAACATAATCAATAAAGTTTTGTATAGAGGCCCTAGTACACTCGCTTATTGTTGTAAAAATATGAGGCCTTTACAATGGGGACTAAGTAAAGAACCACCCTCTGGACGGGAGAGAAATTTGTCCCTTAATGTAAATGATTCATTTTCGCGCGACTTCATAATGAACCATATGTAAATGGAGAGTGAGAACACAAAATCAAAGAACATGATTCTCAAGACACCAATCTATGTCATCCAGGCCTATAATATAGTTTTATAATTTTTCCATCTATACTTAATTCGATTATCAGGCATTGCAACGCATGTAACATGTTTTTGTAAAGCAGATACAAAACACATAGCATTATTATATATCAGTATTTCATGAAGCGCTTTTTTTCCCCAACCTCGAGGTCGGGGTTTCAATCCCTCTGAGGATTTCGCTTGTGTCCTAGCAAGCCACTTTATCTGGATTGCTTCCCTCCACCCAGTAGTATATTTGGGTATCTGGGGTTGCCTGCCTAATCCAATATGACTATGAAAAACAAAGCACTTTGTAACCTAAGGAAATAGGCGCTATATACTAAAATAATAAAAGTAACAATAATCAATAGCTTGTTTAAAATTAAACTTGCTGGATTTCCATCTATAATTTTCGTTCAGTGCTTTGGAATTGAGTTGACAAATTGCGAACACATAGCTAATTGAGGAATAAAAGCGATACAACTATACCGTTAATGAGATATATAATACTCACCACTTATGCATGCGACTTCAACAGGGCCGCTACTACACTCTGAAGTGTCATTACGAGGACAATCATGCAGGCTGGATTCACTACCATCACACCAAAGAACTGCAGCTCTGAGTGTATATGTACTGTTACGATTACCCTTATTTCTTAAATTATCAAGATCAGCAGCACCAAGAAAATTAAGGTCTTTACAAGCAACCTCAGTTGCAATTAAATCCCAGTTGTCTCGGCAAATATGATTCCAAGCGTTGTTGAAGAATATTTCAATGAATCCAGAATGTAGGCCTACTTGAAGTCTTTTATCCATGTATCTCTTAATTCTCAGCGTATCTACAAACAATCAGAATTAAAATCTTGTGATATGTGTTTTTGTGTGTGTCTGTGTCTATTTGTACACATTCAATTGCCACCAATAATTGAAAATAAGCATAAACAAAAGATTTAAGTACCACAATGGAAATAAGTTTGACTATTGAGTTACTTTAATGTGTTTTATCCTTGAACTTTTTATGCTGTATATGAATTTCTAATAAAATGAATGAATGAATGCGTAAGTAGGCCTATCCTTATTTAACAGACAATCAAGATTAAGAGATTATATAGCTGTTGCTGTTGCAGTTGTAACTAATAGGCCTATATGGATTCAATTCAAAGTTTGTTTACAAATAACCATCATAACATTTATACAAATATTATAATCATCACCCATAAGTTTTCTTTTAATTATGCACTTTCTCATGCTTTGCTGTACATATCTTTATATAATGTTATTATTCATTTATTTTGCAATTTGATTGTCCTTTGCGTAGTTACTCATCGGGGTTTTTTTTTTGGTTTTTTTGGTTTTTTTTTGTATGCACTGTATGTACACTTATGCTGCTTTGTAATTCATGTGTTTTTATGTAGGCCTAACTTGATGAAAAAATATATAAAATAAAATAAAACCAAAAGTAGGCCCTACTGTAATTTTAAGGATTGCTTAAACAATATACCTACTTACTCCAAATAAAGTAAGACTCGTCATTGTGATTAAATATTTCTATCTTTTATATAAAGGTAATAAAGTATCGAATAATCTACTTACCATTTGAGCATTCAGTGTAACATATATACCTATTCCTGTTTGCCTGTGTGTGGGGTGTACAATATAGTACGTCATCTCGTATTTCGCAGTTCGCAGTTGGGTAATTAATGTAGTTATTTTCGCATCGAAATACATTTAGGCCACTTGTATGTTGCTTCAAACAAATGAAGTTTAAGACGTCAAGGTTGTTTTCTTGTGCATCATCAATACCTGACCTTACACCTTCAACATACCTCCATGAATGGTTCAGGTATACTTGGGCAAAGCCTTCTACACGAGAGAAGCCATCAAATAATCTCGATCCACCTTTGGGAAGAAAATACATATTGATATAACAAAGCACAACAATAAATGTTGATAAAGACAAATATTAATTATGACAATATAATTATGCATAATAACAAAAACAAAAAAGCTTTAAAATAATCACTAAATTGAAAAAAAAAAATGTACTAGACCTATATATAGGAATATGATAGTAATTATTGTAGCAATTGTTGTTTCAGTGCTATAGTCCCACTATTCATAATTAATAATTTCGTATTACCTGTATTAACTTCTTATATATATTCATATTTATTTATCTTGTTGGTGCTTTCTAACTGATTCTAACATATATTTCTCATTTCAAAATTGTTATCTTGAACAATAGAGGGAAACAATAAAGTTTGCGCTAGATTGTCATTTTACTATAGAAAGTTAACGGCCTACAAAAAACGGTTTTTAATTTGAGAGGGTTCAAAGTCATTTTAAACATTCCGAGAACTGCCTTACGCAGATGATGCTGACATTTCTCACACTGAAAATAATTTACAACACCAACTTCCCGTACTCCTTTCTGAATTAGAATTAGTTTGAAAAAAGACCAATGTAACGTACACACCTTATTTTATACTATGATCTTTCGGCAGGCAAAACAAATTCAAATTTTACACGTTTGATTTATGACAATAAATTTATCTTGCAGTTTTCCAAGGTTATTGAAAGTAATTGTATATGTTTGTGTTATTAAGCAATTGCAATTCTAAAATTATCAATAATTGCAAATATTTTATCTTTTCTAATAATTATCACTTCATATGAAGGTCATATCATATAATTTATCGTGATATGAATTTATTAGAAATGATATTGTCAATTTTTGGTAATGAGATATAAATGAATTGAAATGAATAGATTAAGGATAAAAAGACAAGTGTAGATGATTGAATTACGTAAAATGTGTCTAAAGCCAAATAACTACTAAGTGAATTGATTATACAGTAGTCAGAGCACTGTTTTCTATTTGAAAGTAAAAAGTACTAATGCCAATATTTTTATAAATTATAAGATAATTATATTAACTTTTATCTTTTAAATGAAGGGGTTTGTCGCAGTGGATACGGTGTGGTTTTCCAACCTGGTTCAGGATTTCAATCTTTCGCTGTGCATTTCGCTTGTGTTATTGAGCTTACACAACTATCATATCGGATCGATGTAGTCAATCATGTTCTACGTATCGTCTCGATGGTATTGAATAAACTGCAGTTAATAAATGTGTTAAATAAATGTCAAAGTGTTCCGCGTTTATTGTAACTGCTATATAGTACCACATAAAATTGGGAGTAAGCTGCTCTGGACCAGCGTTCCACCCAGGGTAAGCATCATGCTCTTATCTGCTTGAAACTGGGGATGAGCTCTCAGGATGTATGATCCCCGTGGTTCGGCAAGGACTTCGATTTACTTTGTCTATAAAGTAATATTTGTATTAAAAATATAACTATAATGACTATGTTTTACATATTAAATGGGGACTGGTTGTAGACATTTTGTCAATAATATGTGAAATTAATTTTAAGGCTTTGTCTGTATTAAACATTAAAACAAACAGTAATTGTCTACCACCTTACCAATTAAAAGAGGCAAGAATATCAGCTGTCAGTATTAACAACAATTAGGCCTAGCTGCGATTGAAAATCAGAAGCACTTTCTTTATTTCTACTATGAAATAATACTAAGAAAGATCAAGGTACAATGTTTGATCCAACAGACATAATCTTAAAAATGATAATATATAGACATACATTATTATAGTTTATATATATTTTAGTAATTGGCTGTTATTGTGGGTAAGAGACATGTAGCATACTTACTGGCTGTACATTTCAGAAACACATCTGTGTCGCAAGTCCCAGTTGAGACTGTTTGGAACAAGCATTTTTCGAAACGTTTTTCTGACCCAACGCAACTGACATTCTTTATAGTCGGAGAAATTGAATTCTTGCTATACACCTCAACGACGTCTAATACATCATCAAAGTGAAGTTGCCGGCAAATAACTCTTCCAGCATTCATGCTTATATCCGGCGTACATACTTTGTGCCACACTGAATCTGTAAAAACCTCTACTCTTCCCTGTGACGGAAAATCTCCTCCTATTAATCTTAGTGAGTCTGAAACAATTTCAGTCATAAATGTCAATGAACTGTATTGTCTTTCATTTCAGATACAATTATGAACTAAAACAGTTGTAATAAAATTGCATGTTTAGTTATGTAATAATTAAAAACCTATAAATGTAATTTAAAAGCAAAGCATCATACAATACTACATATAATTACATTTACAGCTAATAAACATAAGAAATTCATTATATGATTTTCAAGTTATATATTGAAATCACTGTTTAACTGATTTTATTATTGATTTACTGGTTTACTTTACAATATAGGCCTAGATGTTTTATTAATTAAATGATGAAAGCAATGTATAGACATACTTTACTGAATCAAGCAACAAATCAACTGATTTGTCAAGAAATTAAACTATTCTAAAGCGGAGGTATTCATAATGCTATTAGATCTACATCAATTATTCTTTTACAAAATTTACTGAAAAACAATTATTGAAAAAAAAAGATTTAGTTGCTTCTTTATAAAAAAGGAAAATATTCCTAAACACAGGTGTTTCATCATGAGTAGTCTGTAGAAACTAAATTTTATTAAGTAGCAAAATGGAAATAGGACCTCATAACTGAATTATTTTTGTATTTAATATCAATCAAAATATTTGCACCTTCTTAATTGATGAGGCTTGTAAGCCTCAAACGTATGGTTTTTTTTTTGTTTGTTTTTTTTTAAATTAAAGATGCAGTCTACATTATTTTTAAAAGCAGCATTTGTACGCCAAAACAAGACCTGAGTTCTACCTTTTGCACAAATAACTCCCGATTGTACTGGTGGCCTGTAGTGTGTCCTTTCTAAAGAACAATCTGTTATTTCTTTTTCACCTCCTACACATGTCACCCGATACGCCGGCATGTCAGTAGAATGCCCAAATATTCCACAACAATCGGCGAACACTGCCTCTGGAAAACCTAGATTCTGGCAAATAAAATTAGCTGCTCCCAGATGCAATCCCGCCACAGTGGACCATTTGCCAAAATAGTATATCTCTACACGCCCGTCATGTGTGCGCCTATACCTCGATGAACCAGGTCGTACAAGTCGAATTCTGACTAAAGGAAATAATTAAGCAGATCATATTACTTTACACAACGGCAGGGCCGTTGTGGTTTGCAAGGAGCGAATCCCCATTGGAGCAATGCACTTTTGATAATTTAAGGAATTATTTGATCATTTATTATTTTCTAAAAAATAAGCTATACAAGATTTTTTTAAACACAAATAGAGGGGCTATGCCCCTTATTCCCCCTCTAAATCCACCAGTGAACTTACTGGAGAAATCACTGACAAACTTCTGTTGACTTCTAAGACAACACTCTGGAAATGCTCTTCTAACTTGCTGATAAGTCAGAATATTTCTAATGTACATATACATCCCTACATGTTTATAAATATTTAAGAATGTAATATATATTTTCTGAATAATATATATTATATCAAAATTAGCACAACTGACATTATTTCATAAAGAATAGAATTGCATTTTCTTATACGTGGTCAAAGAAAGTATTTTAATATTATAAGAAGGGCCTTCTAAGGCCAAAAATAACTTGGTGCTGCCTACGTCAAAATCTATAAATCAATTATAAAACATATCTACTATAGTTAACAAAAGAAGTATTAATAGTTATGCATCATATGGATTACGGAAAAAAAGATTCACGACGTCGACAAAACGCAGAGGTTTCTCCACTTTTGCATGTAGTCTATTTCTTTAAACTATTATTTACAACTCGGGTTGGTTGCTGGCGATCGTTAAAAGGTTTTTATCGTTATAAACGCATTGTAAATAAGTTAAAATTACAAAAAGAGCCTGATTCAGAGTTCATATTCTAAAGTATGTACTTAACTACATGCTTCGTATAGACTTCACATTACGAATTATTAGTCTACGTACGTGCAGCAACATAGGCTGTTGGCTTGAAATAATTAAACATTTTGACATTTGGCTTGCTAGTGTATTACATTACAACAATCCAATAGTCAATAGACTTTATTGGTAAAAATCATCATGAACTAGTAATTCTAGAAAGTACCGAACGGGCACGAATCTTTGGATTATTGCGAAAAACGCAAAACAAACTTTCTCTCGACCAAGTGACCGAGTGGATGCGTAAAGGAAGAAAAATTACATTTTTTATACTGAGGATGGTGACTAACTGGCACTGGTAAGTTTCAAAAGTCACTGTACGTGGCAGCAAATTTTTTTTTTAAACTTATCAATCGTTTATTAAATATATAGAAGTTCACCAAAGAGCAAAATAAATGTTGTTTGTCAGAAGGAACATGGGTTGGGTACATGAACTTAAGAACATACAATTTAATTTTATATTTGGGCACGACTTACCTTGCGAACATATGACACCAACATCTTTAGAGTGATTGCATGATGGATTAAGTAAAGAAATGTCAGGATCACATATAGTATTATCTAAGTTATCGATACATCCACTTATATTTGTCCAAATTATTTCAGTTGTTCCCTTTCCAAATTTGTACACAAGGTATTCCTCGACTCCTCTGTAACCAAATCTTTTACAAAGCCGTTCTGCGTGTTTTTCAGTCCATTCGTTCGAGCATACGGTTCCAGAGATTCCACGAATATCTATTTGGAGGCGACCTTCTCTTGCCACTGTTCCATTCACTAGAGTCGCTATGATATACATAATATATTAACATTTATAATCTAAGTCTAAATAAATTATACATTTAATAAAAAGGAAATAATACTGGAAAACAGTAATTTTCTGGGGAACGATGACTGGATCTCGATTGAGTTACAGCAAAAGTTAAAATGTAAAATTAAAAAGGCAGCCAGAAATATAATACAAGAGCACCGTGTGATGTTAGCACAAACTAGAATAAATAACGAATAAAGTAGTACCTAGGCCTATTATTGTATCTGGTTTGATAAGATGAAAACTTAACGTCCCCTGAATAGGAATGATGTCCCTTATTTGGGATTATATGTTATTTCCTCTCCCTCGTGGAAAAGACGTGCCTCCGTGTAAAGGTGTGTCCCCTGAATAGAAGTGTACCAAAAAACAGGGCTGTTAATTTACTCCGCCCCGATGTAATGCATATGTCAACTTACTCCGATGAGTTTCTCCAAAAGCTTGCTGTACACGTACGCAGCCCCAAAGCAAGAGGGCTAGAAGAGACCACGTCATTGCCAAACAGACGTTAAATAAGCCTCGTACTTAGACGTTCTGGAAAATCAATTGAATATAAAAAGGTATCTGCAAACTAATTGTTAATCAAAATATGAAAATAATAGAAAGGGCAGCTAAGTCGGCTAAACTGGTAGTAGACCCTATGTGTGCGCTGAATCGTGGAGATTTCTTGGTCCCCGGTTCAAAACCCATCTGTGTTCACGTTGTGTTTTACTGTGGAGGCCTGAAATACAAGTTTCAATAGGGCAACGTCTTTCGGATAAGACGTTAATCTGTTCCCGTG